ACCTGTACTGCAGTTTCATACAGGTTATCCGATAAGTTTCAAGCAAACAGATACCAAAGCGTCGACCGAGTCTTGACACCAAAGCCAAGGATACAGAATCCCATTTCCATACTTTTGCTATACGAACAAGAAAGTCATAATGATGCTCAACATTGTTTGGTGCACTATATTCGTCACCACCTTTTGGCTCCCATTTGTGTGGTGTCATACTCAAATTCATGGTGGCTTTTATTTGTGGCACACCACCATTACGCTCTTCAATTCCATCAACATGTTGATATGTGTATGGGAAATTATACTGTACCACTATGCCGAATGGATTGAATATCACTACAAACAGCACCTCAAGCCAAAATATGGACAGAAACTACCACCAGGGGTGGTCTTATTGGATTCGGCGACTCTTTCGCAAGCATTGACGGGGAAGCATTGGGCTCAAATTTGGGCGACTTATTCATTGTGAGTATTTTAACACCACTTTCTTGTTGCTTTTGGAACTTGTCACTGGCCGATATTTATATACATGTTGGATGATTCCATTACTATTGTTATTTTTATTGTTATTATGGCTGGAGAATCATCAATCCGTGTACACTCTTGGTCATATGAGCATTTGATTTGATCCTGTTTGATAGACGATGTCTCTCTTCCAATGGCTGTATTATTACTATGCTCATTCATTTCTTTCATTCCTTTACTATACATTTGACGCAGAATCGATCCCGCCTATTCCGATGGCTCCACCTTTCAATTCTGGGTTGATGTGGGGAACGGGCATTGCTTTCTGATACCATCCCTCCTGTTCAGCTTTTGCATTACCTTTGATGGTGCCGAGGAATCCTCCATATTTTGCTGGAACAATATTGTTTCCCCGCGGACACAGGGCTTGATTGTCTGCGTATTTCAGTACATCATGATGCATGGAACCTTTTTGTATTATGCAAGCTACATTTACAGCAAAAAGTGGGTGGGAGTTTCCTTGGGTGGCAAGCTCTTTGTGACCATTGCCAATATACTGTGGGTGGTATTTCCTGCCATTGCCATTGTTGCCGCCTACCATGCCGTTCACGACAATTCATGGAAAGTTCTGCGAGAATAATCGACATGTTATACAATAAAGAGAAGAGAAGACTCCAAGCAGTGCAGTACTGCAGTCCTTCATCGTCAAAGATGGGTGCATCATATCATGATGGGATGCTGACTCCTAGCTGCGTGTCCACACTGTTTCTGGTTGATTGTGGAGTTGATGAAATGATAGGTTGGAGTAGTAGAAAAACTATCCATTTTGTGTTCCATGGTTCCAATCAAATCTTGGACTAGTTAGTTAGTCCATAACGGGTTCGAGTATAAAACCAATCCTCTTTTTAAAAGTTGTTTTCAATCATATGATTTCTTCCACGCAATATCTACGGCAATAAATCCAATTTAGCTGAAACAAAACCAGAAATGACATTGAGAGTAGTCAACGGGATACCCTGGCATGCGGGGAATGTCCGCATCCCTCAATCATTTCCTTCGAGATCTTTCATTGGCTTGATCCCATGGTGATGAATGAATCAGTGATGATGTCTCATTTTTTGTGGTTGGCAAACGTACGTCAAATGACATTATTTTGGCGAAAGTCCACGTCAGTATCGGATATGATGTCCGATCAGTTATGATCTCAGCTCACAATCGTTACTTGTAAAAACTAAACCTCCTTTTGTCATTTAAGAGGTCAAGGCCCTGGGACATCAGAATTGAAGAATTCACTCTGACTCAGTCCACAAGAATCTGAAAGTGATGGGAGTTCGATCGAGAAAAAAAGATGTGCTACTTACGTTCGCCTCACAATACCTACTTCCGGCAAAAATAGAAGCATGAAGTTTATCACCCTCCTTTCCCTTGTGGGCCTTGTCGCCTCCTTCGCGCCTCAAGAGGCTGGACGTCCATCCACCGAGATCAACTCTCTTTTCGATAACGTAAGTCATTGTTGCCTGGGTCTTTTAAATCCAATGACCATCATCTTCATCATCATCTTCATCATCACCACCGGCATGGTCTAACATTTTGACTGCCGTTTCGCTTACCTTGCAACTTTCAGATCGCCAACATGGACCTTTTCTCACCAGTCAAGGACCAAAACGACTACGGAGCCCGCAACAAGAAGAAGCTCGCTGTTGGAAAGATCGGCAGTGGCTCTTACGTCCCAGCTGGCTTGACTGCCGATGAATATAACAAGATCCGCAACAAGGAAGCCGCCAAGAAGAAGGCCAACTACGAGCGCAACGTCAAGAAGGCCGGAATCTTTACCGACTACACTGACTGGTACATCAAGCGTGGAACTGACCAATCCCAAAAGTGGAAGAAGGATGTTACCCTTGGACATGAAATGGCCAAGACCAAGTATGACTGGCAAGACATTGGTGATGCCAAGCGCAAGTACCGTGGTGCCGCAGCTGCTGAGGCTACCAAGAAGGCCGCACCAAAGAAGAAGAGAACTCTCTTTGGAAAGTAGGCGCCAGAAATATTTAATAAATCTGCGAGCTGTAAAAATAAGATTCAATTTTTCAAACTAGTATGACCCATTCCACCCAATGCTGGTTGAAACGTTTTGATCTTCGATACTACAGACTATCGACTACTGTTTCTCAAAGCTACTACGAACTGTTTTAATACTTGCTTTTTTAAAGTGGAGTGCACCTTTGTCACAGCTCCTCAAGACACTAGTTTCGGTACCAAAAACTGCATGCAAATTATGATTAATACCTGCAGGCTTGACCCGCTTGGTTACTGCATCGCCTAAGCTTCTTCCCATCCACGCAGTGGCTGAGGAGCAACATAGAAATAGACAGCCAACCAATGAAAGATACTTCCCGCCATGACAAAGAGGTGCCAAATGGCATGATCCATGTTGTTGTTTCGAACGAAAAAGGGAACTCCAGCTGTGTAACCAACACCTCCCATGACCAGCAAATTCATTGCCGTCCTTGGCAGTCGCTCGTACATTTGTGGCATACAAGCAATGGCGGCCCAACCCATGCCGAGGTACATGGCCAGAGAAAAGTACTTCCGGTTTCCCCAAGTGGGAACAAAGGCTTCCACTGCAATTCCGAGCACTCCACATAACCAAATAAAACTCAATAGGCCACTGGACCATATCGGCTTGTCATAAAACAAAATTTGCATAAACGGAGTGTAGCTTCCAGCAATGAGAATGTAGATTGCGCATTTGTCCAAGACCATGAAAATGTATTTGGTATGCTGCAGTGTAAAGAAGGAATGATACAACGTCGAACTGAGGTATAGGACCAGAAGACTAATCGTGTATACCGTGCAAGAAATCTTGTGAACCGGGGAGCTGTCTTTGACTAAATCGGATAACAAGTAGCCACCAATGAGGCAAACAATGACTCCGATTCCATGCGTCACACCATTCATAATCTTTTGAGAACAGGTCAAGAATGAAACAATTTGTTTTGTTTGAGGATCGAGGGTACAGAAATGGTTCTCATTCCGGTAAGATGCAAACTTACCTCTGGGATCACTAGATTCCCTTCCAGGTTCACATAAAGGGTAGAACCTTCGTGTTGGAGTGCCGTTTCAATGGCCGATGTTCCTCGATGCCCCATCACGTTGGCACTCAAATCCACATCCTGAAGTCCCGTCTTTTCATTCAAGATGAGTTCGCAAAAGGCAAAGGCCCCACGTTCTCCAATTCGACACCGTCTCAAATTTAAGTGTTCAATGGTCGAATTGGTAGAACACGCCCAAAACAATGCCGAGGCTCCGTATGGACCAATCCGGTGTTTTGGCAACCACACTTGCGTCACATGTTTGGTATATTGCAAGGTCTTGGCCAAGGCCAATGCCCCATGACTCGTGAATCCACATTTCATGGACCGGAATCGTTTGCCTTCCTTTCCCGGAATGGTAAAGTCCAGTCGCTTGATGTAACTCAAATGAGTGTTGGAATGCCTCAAGAGTAATTCGGTCAAGGCCAGCATGTCCGTATCGTGAAAACTATTTCCCACTCGCAAGCTTGGCATCCGATAGCGCAATGTGCACAACACACCGGAATTGTAGGGCACTTTGTAAAATTGACAGAGTGTCATGTACTCGCCCATTAATTTTTCAATAGTCCTGCTGCTATTAGTCGCAGTAGCAGCATCAGAGTCAGCAGATGGCATTGTCATCATGGGTTCCGCTACAAATGGTGAAATGGAAGAGACGCTCCGTCGTTGCAAGGATTGTAAATTGTACAGTTCGGAGGGCGCTTGTGATGCAGTATTGTTGTTGTTGTTGTTATCTTTGTGATGCTTCAACAATGATAGTTCATCATCCTTGAACCCAACACATTCCTGACAGCATAGGCCACTGAGACTCTTCATGAATTGCATGCTCAAAGCAACCGCTTTTGCTGGAGGAAGAGGAGGATGATTTCGTGACACCTGCTGTCCGTTATCTTTGTTGTTTGGGTTCTTCTGCTCTTCCTCCATAGTATCATTCTTGGCATTGTCCGAATCATCGTCGTCGTCGTCATCAAATCTATCAAATAGGCCCTTGTCGCTATCTTCCATGGTTCTATTCTTTATTATGAGTGAGATTTGAAATGTATGAAGTGTATTATTGGTGATGGCTGCTGCACTTGGGAGTTTCCTCAACAAGAGGGTCCTATACTGTCACAGTTTACGACAGCGATCGTGAAATCAGACGAAAATCTTTCTGGCACTATTATTGTCATTGACGTCACATCTGCCGCGCGCAATTTTCGTGCGAAATAGTCCGTCTCCAACCAAAGATAATCGAATAAAACGATCTCTTTTGGGATGATGTGTATGGTATAGTGGAGGATGGATCCCAAGAACATCGAAGGTCATCATCATCATCATCATAATCGTCATCGCAATCATCACTTTTATTCAACCTTTGTACATTGCTGATTCTCCAAAATGCCTCGAAAACCTGCCAAACTCTCCAATACATATGTGCCTCTTCCAGCAATAAAAAAGGAGGACAACACAGCCGACCAAACGTCAGCGACAATTCGCAAAGACAACCGAAGTCATTCTGAACTCCGTCCACTTTGTCTGGAAACGAGCATTCTGTCGGCGCAGCTTACTACTACTAACATCATTTCTCTTGGAGGATCTGCTACTGGGTATGGCAAATGTTTGGGATCGTCGCTGGTCGAATTGGGACACACCAAAGTCTTGTGCGAAGTCAATACCGCTCCTACCGGCACGGTCGATCAAGGAAGTCTCCAATGCCAAGTCCAGTTTGCCAAGCACATGGGAAAGAATGCCATTTTGCAACGACTCCACATGGTATCACCTCTCGATTCTGCGACAGAGGCCTTTTCGATTGGAAAATTGCAAAATGCCACGACTCAAATGGAAGCCGACTTGTCACAAGAATTGACGATTGCCTTGCAACCCGTTTTGGATCCCTATTTGTTTCGGATCCCAAAGTGTGCCATTTTGGTGCAAGTGACGGTTTTGCAAGATGATGGAAGTGTTCTTTCAACGTGCATTGGAGCTGCCACCCTAGCCTTGATGGATGCCCAAGTGGAAATGACAGACTTGGTCACGAGTTGCACCGTGGCCGTTCTCAATATATCATCCTCCGAAGAAGAAAAAGAAGGAGAAGAATGCATCTTTTTAGCCGACCCCACTCAAGAAGAAATGATACAAGCACAAGCGGTCATTGTCTTGGCCATGACACCGAATCACAAGGAAGTCACCTTGTGGCGACAGTCTGGTCGATTGACCTCGGATATGGCCAATCAAGCCGTTGAATTGTGTCGGAGTGGATGCCGGACCATGCACAAGTTTTTGAGAGAAGTATGGGTGGTTTCTCCTATAGCAGCAGGAGCACCAAATCCATAATACGTATCATCAAATAATGATGTCATACACCAGACTGGTTGGACAATTTCCATGAACGACCTTTCCTCCTCCTTCCCTTGCAGCAGACTGATGCGTCAACTTTCCGTCTCTGAATATTATAATAGACTGACCTGAACGCAAATTCACTGGATGTTTTTACGTTACGTTACATACAGTACAGTGAGACATCATGCAGTAGTAATAAGAGGATGTTCCAGGTACATCCCAGGTATCTGCTAGTTGTTTTCTTAACTAACTACTATGCTGCAGTTTTGCTCAGTACTCTCCTTACACCATTCCAGATGCGCCGTATCCATTCTTGAACTGCTCATGAAGATTTCGCAACAGCTCTGATTCTTCTAAACCAGGCGAAGAACGAAGTGCAGCTCTGCTATCGAGCTCTTCCGTGTTCTCATCCTTACAATAAGCGCGGACAAAAGAGTGGGACGCAAATACTTCAGACGAGCCAAACGCAATTTCGCTAGTCAACGTGCGAAATGTATCACAGAATCCTCCAAATGCATCTTCTTCAGGAATGTGAAGTACTCTGCTAACTATGTTCTTCTTTGACAGCTCACTGATTGCAGAACGGTCCAGGGTAAGGTCGTCGTCATTGGAGACAGCGGTAGACCCGAACACAACCAGCAAACACAATGCTCCAGGAAAAAATTCAAACGCTTCCTTGTCGTCGCCTTCTTCGACTCTCTTGAATCGCTCTGTCATCCGCTGGCACTCCCATCTTGCATCTTCAGGAGAATAGTATGCGCGCGACTTGATGGAGATCACCATTGGCGCAAAGTAATCTTTCCCTTGTCCCGAAAGCTTGATGGGAATGACAAGATCAATGATCGGGCAACCGGGGAATACATAAAAAGCTGTCCCGCTTGCGTACATGTACGATAGAAAATCCTGCGAACAAAATCCTTCCCAGTCGGCTTCACAAGACCGCAAATAGTTTTGACAAACCTGAATGCAGCTGATGCTAGCCTCTACTCCAACTTCGTCGGCGTCATCCATTGTTTCGTCCAATTTCTCAGCAGCCTGCTTCTGTCCTGAGACTGGCAATTTGGCAGCAAGAAGGCGCTTGCTCTTCCGCTTCGGCAAAGCATACTCATCGGAACGATGTCCTTGTCTTCGCTCAAGCCCGCCCGTTGTTAGATTCTCTATCCAATCTTCAAGAGACACTGAAAACGTGGTGTGATTGTGATTGTCCTGTCGCCGAAGCACATCGGCACAAACAAGAAAGTACAGCGCAACCATTACTTCACCAAAGTCACCCTGTTCAGGTCGACAGAGCCCTTGCGAAAAAATTTCCTTCATCTGCCAGAGCCACCAACTACTAGGTCTGCCTTTAATGTCCCCCAATGCCCATTCTGAGTCCATCAGTTGCATGGCCAGACGACCACAAACAGGATCTGGCATGTAGCATATTATTGCATCTGTGGAAGTTGCATGAGTCAGGTTGGCATATCCGTAACCTACCATGTCCGAAGCGACAGAAAAAGAAGGTTGGCCCATTTGCACTCTGGTACCCAAAATGCTGAGACATGATTTCAGTGACTCCTTCCCAACAGCCCAGTGATTCCCAAGACCATACAGTAGCATTCGACGGACTACTGATCCTTCATTTCTTGCCAGATCTCCGTTTTCCTCCATGAGTTCAAAGAGCGGTCGTCCATGGCGTATCGCTTGACGATACTCTGTCGTATGCTTATCTAATCCTTGATCTCCCTCCAAATTCCGACCTCCTAGGCAACCCATTGTGGTTGTCTGAACAAATATTGGAAACACCTTTGCGCCTTTCTCATAGAAGTTGTACCGCTCGCCAATCGACGTGAAGTCTCGAGATGATGGCACAGACAGCTGTGGATCAGCCTCCAGTCGGAAACTTGCCAAGGTTGCAAGAGTACCCGAAAAGCAACCAATCACTTTGTGTCGTCCTTTCTTCTGTCGAAGCCATAGCCGAATACATCGGAACAGAAATGCAGGATGCTTCACGTTCTCGGCGCCTTCGTCGTCCTGAAACTTGTGGGATTCCAAGTATACGTGGGCTTCATCAAAACAAAGAAATATGGTCCTTTGATTACCATCATGATCGGATGCTTCCTCCGCTATTAGTTTGTCGCAGAAAGTATTCAGGTATGCAAGTGCTGCTGTTGCAGCATCCACGGCTGATTTTTTCGTCGCACATACTTCGATGTTTAGCCTGTGAGAGAAAACGTCGCCATTTGTCAACGCATTTGAATCTTTCAGTGTCCATGGCAAAACCGTATGGCAAGACCAGTTATCCTTTTGCTCCAACTCCTTGCAACCTTCGTAAATCAATTTGGTCTTTCCCATCCCGCTCGACTGTACGACACAAAAGTAAGGCGCATCTTCGTATTCCGAAGCATTTACGGAATCCTCTGATGCATCGAACCATTTCGCAACGCGCTCAGCTTGATGAACAAACTTTTGAACATCGTATTCATGAGAGAGCTCTGTTTTGCTGATGAGGTAGTTGACAGGAACCATGCGATTGTTGTTTCTGGAGACTACAGGTCGCAATAGAGCTTGCTCCTTTGTTCTCTTGTAGTACTCCCTCAAGACGTACATGCACAAGATTGAAAGAAAAGAGTGCAATGACAATTCATTTTCAATTTCCAGTCGTTCCTGATGATGCTTCAGAAAATTCAACGACGCAACAACAAGGGCTGTGGCAGTCTTGTTAGCATTTTTGGCTTTTGAGATCATCTCTTGGTTTCCCTTAAAGGCAGCCACAACCACATCGCATATCACCTTTCGACGAAAGTTGATCGCTTTCGCATCAGGAAAATCCTTTGCCTTCCCAATTATTGTCAGATACTCTTCGAGAGTATCATCGTAATCCTTTGTCCATTGCTGCAAGACAATTTCTTTTACCAGCGTTTCATATGACGTAGATTCTCCTCCATTATTACCATCGCCATTGTGGGTCATGTCGGTATCGTCGATAGAGGTTCTGCTAGATGCCGCTTGTGGTGGCAATACTAATGAGTTGACTTGAAGCTGACTTTCCTCCTTATCATCAATCATTACAGTATGTAGTATCAGGATCAAGGAGTGAGTGGTGCAGAACCGGCTCTCAAAACGTTTTGGTCTTCGGTTCAGAGCGATATTATGAATTATGACTGCTCATCCAATTGATTCCGGAAACCCTTCGAGTACTGGTTACCAGTACTGTATGATATGGCTGTCTGTCGTAGCTTCAGCAGGAAGTATACTGTACCCGTGTTTTAAAAGATAGGAAGAATGATGATGATGCATGATGCATGATGCGTTGCGGTATTACCTATCCGGATTCAGCCGTGCGGAACGTTCCGGAACAGTACCCGGAAGTAACTGACCATACCAATATTATGCACGTCTTTTGGATCGATATAATAGATGAGAAAAGAAGACGGCGGGCCACATACATTATTATACTTTGCAGATCATATATCGCAGCAATAACGCAGCCTCAACTATCCCCATTTTTAATACCTACCGCAGATCCATAGAAAACCTTTCTGTGGATCTATATCATCGTACAAGACGAAGGTTTAGACGAAGGTTTAGATTACAATCATCTGACAGTAGTCTCGACAATGACAAGTACCTCCCCTTCCACTACTCATCGCATGATGATTCCAGCAGACGAAGTCTCGGACATATTTTCCGATTTGACGCCCGTTCCACAAGACGAAGGACCTTTGGAACCAGTCTGTGCCATTCAATACCCTACTTCCTTTCGAATAGCCTACGACTATATGCGAGCAATCTGGCAAGTTAAGGAATACAGTCCACGAGCCTTGCAACTTGCCGCATTGTGCCTCCGACAAAACCCCGCCAATTACACGGTCTGGCAATGGCGTCGGCAATGTTTGAAAGAATTGGGTTTGCGGAATGACAAGGAAGCGATTCTGAAGGACTTGCAATTGACAGCTACTTTGGGTGGATCCAATCCCAAGAATTATCAAATTTGGTACCATCGTCGGGCCTTGCTCGAGAGTTATGGTGGTACTGCGGATGGCAAAGAGCAACAACAATTATCACTACTCCGACAAGACTTTGGGGAATCCGAACTGGCTTACTACGAAAGTGTGATTGATATTGATTCAAAGAATTACCATTGTTGGTCTAATCGGCAGTGGTTCCTTTGTACTTTGAATGACGACGACTTGTGGGAGAGGGAATTGGAATACAGTGAGTGATACATTCATAATATTTGATGTTATTGTTGTTGTTGTGTCGTGACAGGCAAACAGGCAGGCATATCTACGCAAGGATCATTGTATCATCCATCGTCCAGTCCTTTTGATATATCAATCTTGTTTCTGTATCTTGGCTAATACCTTTGAATCCTTCTCCACATTCCTTAGCCGAAGAATTGATTGACGACGACCAGCGCAACAATTCCGCATGGAATCAACGATGGACCGTTGTCCACAAGGGTACCAAGAACCCATTGTCACTGGAGATTACCAAATCAGAAGCGGACTTTTGCTTGACAAGTGGCTGCAAGGTTGACCCCTACAATGAATCTCCGTGGCGGTACTTGGTGGCCCTGTTACAGGAGCAACTCAAGCATGAAAAAACTGACACGGCAGTGGCCGAGGAGATGATTCGGGAATACGAACAAAAGTCGGCAAGTCTGGCGCAAATATTGGTGGATGCACAACGGGATCCAGAGAAATGCGTGAACATGACATGGGCTCGTGTGGACATGTTGGAAATGGCGGGAGATAAGGCATCGTTGGAGCAGGTGAGAATACCAACCCGGAGGACGTGCATTGCTGAACAATAGCCTTGTTTGTCCGTCAATGATTGTCTCACATGCATTCCTCCTTCTTTGATTTGATGATGATTCTACCAACCACACTGTTATTATGATTGTTGTTATTCCTAAATCATGCTTGGATATCATTCTAGTCTGTACGAATGGCACGAGATCTTGAAACACAACACGATGTGGTCCGTAACAAGTATTGGAAGTTGCGAATTAGCCAACTGCAAGAAAAGCTCGCTCAAAATAAGTAATGGAAAGCTCTAAAATGCGGCATAAGATTTTAAATATGGCAGGTCGTTCCTTTCAGTCTCACGGGCCCATTTCAGTCACACGAGTCGATCGTATGATTCTGATGGGTCACATTTTTCGGTCATCTTTCAATCAATCTTCACAATACACTTTCGTCATAACCAAGCAAATGTGGGAAAGGTGAAAGCATCCCATGCTTCGACACAATCCCAAACCTGCAAGTACAACAGCAACAACAATAGCAAGTCATCGAAATACCCACACGGACATAGAAACCAATACAGGAACGACCGACAAGCCAACAACTCAAACGAGGCGCAAAAGTCGTACGAACACAACATCACCAATGGGTGCTTGGACCGTCTTGTCGAGGCTCTTGGGAGTGGGGATATATACTGTCATAATAGTACAGTTTATTCTGGCTTTTATTGTGGAGAAGCAACAGCAGCCCCCACCGCAAACGGCACCTCGGCGTGATCTGGAATCACCGGCGGCGGCCACCAATAATCAAGTTGTTTCCACTACTCCTATAACTTCGTTTGTTTGCATCAATGGCCAATTGGAACGTTTGGAACTAGACAACAAAATCGAAACCGTCCTCAATCCCATCAAAGAACAGATTGGAGGAACTGTCGACATTGCTCTCATCATCACGGAAAATAAGGCCATCTACACCAAGGCCAAGATATCGGACCAGCGGGCCCAACACGAACCTCAATTTACCAAATACCATGAGGCAGTCGACTATTTGACCAGCAAGGGATTCAATGTCGTCTCCAATGCTCCCGTGGATCATGCCAAGGATCCCAATGTCTACACAGAATATCTGTGGAGGCTGGCCCAACTAGCGGGAGACAAAAAGCTCAAGGATCCCGATTTTTTTGCTTACGACAAGAAACGAGCGCAAAATCATGTCCGACAGGCCATTTCGGGAGAGCTGTGTTATCGACATATGGCCGCCACTGGCACGGATTATAGCAAAGGAATTGTGGCCCGATGGCGAGACGATGTCGGCTTTTTGAAGGAGCTTCCGATTGGGACATTTTTCAAGTGGTTGCACGATCCACCCCCGGTCGATCCCGAATACGACTTGGCCGTGGTGAAACATAATCAAGTACGACCCACCATGGTAACACCCTATTGCCGTAATTGGCAAGGATTGAACGACCGGGGTGCATTTGTGCATCCTGATGGAGCCTATGCATACTTCATGGCACCCATGGTGTCGTTTACTCGAGCACGTCCATTGCCAAAGGATCGAGTCTGCAATCACGAAAGATTCTTGCGAGATACCTACAATAAGGAAGGATTCTTATTTATTCCCACCAAAGAATTATATCCAGTCCCCATGTTCCGCAACGATGGAAAAGGAGTCTTTCGAGAAGAGGAAAAAGACAATACCCTGTGCCGAGTGTGGTGGAAATCCTATCGAGGGGATTGTCCCCGACAAGACGAAAAAATCAAATTGTTGGATGGAGATGGGCAATCACAGCCGGAACTCTCGCAACCAGAAGTCCCTGTCAGCAAAGCAGAACCCAAAGCAGCTGCTGCCAAAGATGACGAAATTCGATCCTTTGTTTGTATCAATGGCCAACTGGAACGTCTGGAATTGGACAACAAGTTGGAGAACCTCCTCATTCCCATTCGAGAGGAGATTGGTGGCACTGTGGATATTGCCTTGGTGGTTTCCGAAAATCAAGCCTTGTATACCAAAGTCAAAGTTTCCGACCAGCGCGCCCAACACAAGGCTGTCTTTGATCATTATCAAGAGGCTATCGACTACCTGGAACTGCAGGGATTCAATGTGGTCTCCAGAGAACCAATGCCTCATTCCGTCGATCCCATGGTCTATCCCGAGTACGAAATTCGACTGGCACAATTGGCCAACGACAAGAACATCAAAACAGCCTACCTATTCGAGAGGAATCACAAACGAGCCCAAAATCACGTTCGACAGGCTATTTCGTGGGAGAGTTGCTATCGTCACATGTTGGAGACTGGTCACGATTACAGCAAAGGCATTGTTAGTCGGTGGCGAGACGATGTAGGCTTTGAACACAAGTTGGATGTTGCCACCTTTCTAAGCTGGATTCGCGATCCTCCACCTGTCAAACCGGAACAAGATCTGGCGGAAAAGAAACCCTTTCGACCGACCATGGTGACGCCATACTGCCGCAATTGGAATGGTTTGAATGACCGAGGAGCCTTTATTCATCCAGGTGGGGCTTATGCCTACTTCATGGCGCCATTGACTGTCTTTTCGGCAGCCATGGCACTACCTTCGAAACGAATCTGCAACTTTGAACGTATGCTGCGATGGACCTATAACCGAGAAGGGTTCCTCTACATCCCAACTCGACAATTGTATCCAGTTCCGATGTACAATGTCAATGGTACAGGAGTATTCCGAGAGGAGGAGCTGAAACTGATGTGCCTGTCATTTTGGAATTCCTACAGTGTAGATTGTCCACGAAACAATGAAACAATAACAATCCTAAGGGAGTAGGATAACAATCTTTTCTGCCGCGCCAGATCCGTGTTGGGCAAAATCATTTAGAATGCGTTGGAAGCTGTATTTTTTTTAAAAATAATATAGTTTAAAAAAAAGACAGACCATACAAATGACGCCAGGATGTTCGAATCGTTCTGTTTATCCTCGAGAAGAAAGAAATCAGGAAGAGAAAAATATCCAAAGGAAGAAAAATTATTGATGCAAATGATGCTATAATTTTGGAAGCCTGGATACAGAAAAGGCAAAAGAATACAACACCTGGGATTCCAACGTGGTCCCCCACCGTAGTACTAACCAGGCCCGAACATGCTTAACTTCGCTGAGCGGACGGGAAGCGGTGCTGTCATGTTGGTATGGTCGTATCCGTTGGTAAGTACAGATTTAATATTCACAAATAAAAGTTACCCTAAACGCTCTACTTCTAGTATTTCTGCGTCCATCATTGCATTGTGAACCACTACCATGAGAACAACCTCATCATCAAAGTGGTGCTGCTCGATCAGTCTTCAAAGTCTTACATCCGTATTATTACGTTTAGTTGAAGAATCTGCAACGCCCCCCAACTAGCTATCGTCATAACTATGGGAAACACATTGGACAAACCAACAAAGACGGAGAAGGATACCAGCGCTCTTGGTGTCAGCTCGGAAGATGGGTTGTCTTGGGGTGTTTCTTCCATGCAAGGATGGCGATTTACAACGGAAGATGCACCTGCTTGTCATGCCATTTGAGCTGCTCATCCAAATAATAGTAGTAGTAGTTGTGAAAATGGCGAACAGTTGTTGGATACGACCTCTAGGACTCCAAGATTTTCCACGTGCGTTTTAAAAAAAAAAATGAATCACACAATAAAAATACATTTTCATGAGTACACGTAACTGTACGAATCACACCACAAAAATTCTGTCCCCAATCGACCACAGAATTTGACTTTCTTTGACGTAAAAAATGAATGCTACGGCACTACACGCGTAACGAGTGACAAGTGAATACCCCCCATAGGTATTGCATATGAGGACTCCATACTAAACGATGTGACAAGTGGCAAAGGTGAGCCTAATAGTGGTATTGCCGTGGGGTATGGCCAGTCACCGCTGACGCCAGCACCTATGGAAGTACTTAAAATGGAGGGAGACAATTTAAATTCAAAATATAGTATTTAAAATTAGGTCGAGATATCCGTGCGCTGGTATTTTAAAATACATACTGTAGCAACTACTAATACCACAGAGCGATGCTGTAGGATTTTTGCCAGTTGTGTTTTTAATCCAACGAGTCGGTCACGACACGAAAAAGACCGCACCGCATATGATGACTACTAGTATATATTTGAACAAAACCAACCATCAAAGCACGCAGCTCTCGATTGACAGCAACCTTCCACCAATCTGCTATTTGAAGAACCCGAGGCCAGCCGAAAACATTATCAACGGAGAGACCGAACCAACGAAATCGTCCTTTGAATACACCAATACGAGACATTTTGACAACACTGACCGTTGTTGTGTATATTAGAAAACCAAACCGTACACCAACAAACAAACTTGACCAAACATGCCAAGCCCGTGGAAGAAAGCTCCCATCAGTAGCGGAAGGCCCACTGCTGCTGGAAAGGGAAGTGGTTCAATACTACGCTGGCTTTTGCTTGGATTTCTGGTACTTTCTGTCGCTGGGCCGTTTGTGATGCATCATAAGAGTCTCTTGGCGGAGAATGACCACTTGATCAATGAAGCCCCACGCGTAGTTGCAACAACACCAGCAACAAGAACCCTGGGACAATCATCATCATTATCACAAACCAATCCTCCAGAAAGAATACGAATACCTGAAGCACCAATTCTTACAGAGCCTCCAGTGGCTGCTGCGGCTGTCGTTTCCACAGAACCGCCTCAAACTCTGACACAAAACAATAGTGCTGACAATAAGGATAGCGAAGATAGTGATAGCGATGACAACGACGAAGACGAAGGGAAGAAAAAGGATGCAGATGATGGAGAAGCGACGGAACAACGTGATGCTGCCAACGATAGCGAGGACAGTGACAGCGATGACAAGGATGCAGATGAGGAACAGACAGTGCAACAAAATAACGGTGACAAGGAGGGCGAGGATAGCGATGAAGGAGGGAAAAATGATGCAGATGAGAAAGACGGAGAATCCAAGGATGACGAAAGTGGTGACAAGGATGAAGAAGATAGCAATCCTACTGATGGTGATGAGGGATCGGACGCCTTGATTGCCAGTAGCAAGCCTGGCGCAGTTTGGCAAAACGACCAATATGACATGGTCCACATCATTTACAGTCGTTTCATGCAACACCAGCCCAACTTGGTCAAATTGGGATTAGCCCGGTTGGAACTCTTCAAGACGTTTTGCTTCCCCTCAATTTCCCAACAAACGAACCAGCAATTCTTGTGGATCATTCGTACAGATCCCGAATTACATCCCACCCTCAAGGATGGTTTGATTGATGCTGTACAGGGAATGCCCAATGTGGCAGTTATTGGCTCCAATGAAGTCAAAAAGGGATCGGTCGATCGTGGATGGCGGAATGGCAATGCCACGGGCGACATTACGGAAGGGTCGCTTTTTTATGGAAGTATGGATTTGATTCAATCCTATCATGAGGCAGTAGATCAGCGAACTTTGTTGGAAACCAATCTGGATGCTGATGATGGATTGGGTCTTACCTTTGTGGAACGAGCACAAAACTTGACATTTGCCAGATTCCAAGAGTTGGCTGCGTCCAAGCAGACGAACACCAATCGTGCCTTTGACCGAAAAGATGCTTGGATCAATCTATGTGTTGGTCGGCATTTGGAATGGCAATTTTATGCACCCTGGGACAAGACTACCACCAAGGGATCTTTACATGTGGGTAGTACGCACATTTGTGTCACACCTGGTCTAAGTTGGGCAACCCAACCCGATGCCCACGCGAGGTTCATCAAACAACATCACTTGGTCAAGAAGCATACTCCTGCTTGTGACGATCCGCAACAAAAGAAAGCTCCGTTCATGGGTTGTTGGGTAGAAATTCCTGTACCTGGAGACGATGTCATGGCGATTCGAGCGCGGACACCAACTTCAACCGGAATGAACCGAGTTGTGATGTCCGAGTCAGACTGGAAGCCAGAAGAGGAAGCGATGGATAGAGAATCGTGGCCACTTTTGGAACCATCCTTTGCCATACCGCAAACCTTGGTGGAAAGCTCACACAAGTATCTCAGTGACCATTTGCAAGAATTGGTGGAAGAAAATCTCAAGGGACAATGTACCAAGGATCATTCCTGTTCAGAGGGAATCAAGAAGAAGCTCAAAGCTCTCTTCTTCCAGGGTGGAAAGTGGCAAAATAAGCATGACTTGGTGCACGTTGTTCATACTTTCCACCCATTTTCAGCATTGGCAGTCTCCAAGTACTTTTCGTTTGAATCGATGGAGTCTCAAACGACGTACGAATTTTTGTGGATTATTTATGTCGAAGATGCATCGTCGAACTTTGTATACAGGAACCAAATGACCAAACGTCCAGAGAAGAGTGGATTGGATATTTTGGTGGTCCAAGCAGACGGTCCAGTGTCGCCAACTGTGGACTTTCGAAGTCCCGAGGCGATGAGTATATTTTCAAACGATACTTTGATATACGGAGAAATGTCTTTACTGGAAAGCTTTCACCAAGCAGCCCAAACGAGGACCGTCTTGGAAACGACACTCGGCGCCAACGAAGCTGTGAGCAAGACTTTTATGGCCGATCTGCAAAATGAAACTGTCACTCGATTGCAAAATAATGCCGACAATGAGAAATCGTGGTACTATCACTGCTCGCCCGAGTACTACGAGTGGCGGGCGTTCAATCCAGCAAATTTGGAGGAAGAATCTGAAACTGGCTTTTGGAATTTGGCGACCCCTCCAGAGAATGAAAAATGTGTGGAGCGACCTGGAACGACAAGAATTGCTGGCCCTCAAGCCACCCTTCCGTCGACGTATGATGTCTTGTCGTTGGAGCCATGTTCTCTGGACGAAGAGCGAACAGGTTGCGTGGTGGACGCTGGAAAACAAGATGGTGCGCGAGCCATCGTACCAGGATTGGTGAAGGATGAGAATCCTCTCAAGTTGTCGCCAGGCGATTTGTCAAACTTGGTTTCCAATCAAAAGGATATACGCGCAGAAGTAACCGAAGCTTTCAATGTGTATATGGACAAGCCGCGGGTGAGAGCAATTCGGGAGAAACTTAAAAAGCACGAAACTGATACAATTCCAGAACCTCTTGAATCAATCCGCAACCTTGAATCCAGTAATGCGCCAGCACCACGTTCAGACTTGTCGGTTACAACAGCTCTCGACACTTGGCAAAACAACAACGATGTTGTTCACATTTTGTACAGCCGTTTCATGCAGCACCAACCAGACCTTTTGGAACTTGGAAAGGCCCGCCTTGAACTCTTCAAGACGTTTTGCCTCCCAACCATTTCGCACCAGACCAACCAACAATTCTTGTGGATCATTCGGACAGATCCCGAACTACACCCAGTTCTAAGGGATGGATTGCTAGAATCGGTGCAAGGAATTGAAAATATAGTCGTTGTAGGGTCCAACGAAGTGAGAAAAGGATCAGTGGACAATGGATTTCGAAACAAGAAGGCGATTGCCGACATTACACCCGAGTCAATCTTCTATGGAAATCGTGATCTAGTTCTGTCGTTCCAAGAGGCAACGGTAGGACGAATTGTATTGGAGACGAATCTTGATGCAGATGATGGTCTAGGCCTGACCTTCATGGAAACAACTCAATCAATGGCAAAGACGGCGTTTGAAAAGATTCCGAGCAAAAATGGTTGGTTCAACCTTTGTGTTGGCCGCCACTTGGAATGGCAATATTTCGCTCCATGGGACAAGCACACGGATAGAGGATCTTTTGAATTGGGAAGTACTCATATTTGTGTGACTCCAGGTTTGAGCTGGGCAACCCAACCAAATGCTGTCCCGGGCTTTACAGTGCAGCACCACATGATCAAACAGAATACACCATCATGCAAGAAATCAAATAAACCCTTTCTTGGCTGTTGGATTGAGATCCCGGGTCCAAGACCACAGGATCCAATGGCAATTCGTGCGCGAACACCAACATCGACAGGAATGAATGGGGTGAAGACTTCCCATGAAGGTGATTGGGGACCAAAGGCGAAGGCGCTTGACGATGAAACTTGGCCATTGCTGGAACCTGACTTGGCAATACCAGAGGCCTTGGTGAAGTCGTCGCACAAGTACTTGAAGGATCATTTGAATCTTCTTGTCGCAGAGAATCTGAAAGGACAATGCACAAAGGACCATTCCTGCAGTGAAGGAATAAAAAAGAAATTGAAATCTCTGTTCTTTGACAAAGGCAGTTGGATTAACAAACATGACTTGGTCCATGTCTTGCATATGGAAGTTCCAGAAAAGCTGAACTTGTCGAAGCTGTTTGTTGGTTGGGAACCAGTCGAGACGCAAACGGTCTACGAATTTCTCTGGATTCTTTATGTTAGTCCAAATATTGATCAGGACTCGAGGAATGCCTTAATGAAAAAGCTCAAAAGGAGCCCACTTAACGTCGTTGCTATGGAGCCAAACCAAGCTCCAACTACCACCTTCCGGGATGCCGAGACTCTTTCAGGACTGTCGACAAAGAAACTTTTGTTTGGAGACATGGCATTGGTCCAAAGCTTCCACGAGGCATCTCAAAACCGAACACTTTTAGAAACCTCATTGAGAGCCAACGAGGCCATTACAAAAACCTTTGTGGGAGAAATTCAGAATCGGACTTTTGATCAATTGGATCAATTCGGCAGCAGTGATTGGTACTACCATTGTGTTTCAGAATATCTAGAATGGAGAGGTCCAACACCGCAAGCCGTCGAACCAGCACATGGTTTTGTATCCATTGCAAAGCGTCCATCTGAACACTGCACACACCGACCAGGTACTACCGTAATCATGATGCCAGACGCCAAGATACCCGACGGCTGGAAGAAGGAAGACTCGAAACCCTGTGACAAAACTGAATCCAGAAATGGATGCTATACGCAATCAGGAGAGCGAAATGGCGCACGGGCACTTTTGCCTGGCATTGTGGATGTTGCCATTGGGTACGAGGGACAGGGGGCCGAATTGGAGCAACTGAAACAAGACCAACCCAACTTGCGAGAAGACTTGCACGAAAATTTTGCTATCGAACGCTTCCACTTGCGACAAATGGTAAAAACCTTGAATGGAGATAACTAAACAGCATAATAGACAGCTTAACGGCCACTGGTGCCATGATGATAGAAAATAAATGTGTATAGTGATATCATTGAGGAGGACTTGGGTGCTTTTGTAAAATGATATTGTCGTGCCGCCAAGAATACGGAGAAGGCATCTAGTAGTCCTTTGTGGTTCGTGTTTGATTTTTGAAAAAAGAAACTTTGAACTTCCGGCACACGTCGTCGTCGCTTATTAATATTTAGTGTTAGACAATCATACCATAAAATAATACAGTGCTGAACTTGTCAATACCATGGGTCTTACGTCTTCTGCCCCAGCAGAGCTGTCGAAGAAACAAAAAGATATTGCATATTTGGGAAACCGCTTGCCGTTTGGGGATGACGAACTCGTTCAGTTGTACAATGCGTATCACCTACGAAAAACGCTTGCCTCCAGAAACGAACACACTTCCTTCTTGGTGGACATTGGAATACTCTGTTATTCAAAAATGGAGCCAGGAGAAGCCGAATTGAAAGAACGAAAGTTGCTAATACAAGCTTTGGAATCCAAGATTCTACCACCTAGCTTTGGGAATCGACTCTTTCAGACTTCCTTTATTGGTCCACAAGATCTCTCGGACTACAATGATGACAAGCCAACTTCTTCTGTATCCAACGCCACAGGCGAAGAAGACGAATTCACTCATCGGGCAAATCTGGAAGCCTTCTTTAGTGGTGCTGCACTATGCGGTCGTAGGGGAGCTGCCAAAACTTTGCAAGTGTTGGTCGAGGCTTGTGAACAACACCCTGCACCGCCATCAGAAAATGGATCTGTGTCGTCTCCCTTTGAAGCTACTACCTCTACAAGAGAATCGACATTGATTGATCCAGTTGAACTTATTTCAATGGGTTATCGCGTCGCACTAGCTTCGGCATTTCTGTCCGCTACTACCCGAAATGACGATCAAGAGGATGTTGGGCGATTTCTTCCAGACGACAAAGTTTCGGATCATCCAGGCCTTGTATCATTGGCAACTTCTCTCAAAGCGTTTGCGACAAAACGGAAACAGCGGTTAGAACATGCAGCTATACCACCTTCCGAACTATTGTCCCTGGTTTCAGCTGAGGATGTGGCCGAATGGGGAGAACAAATGGCTCCAATGTTTGCCGCATCTCTTTCCAGTCTCATGCATCAATTATTCTTTCCTCACAAACCACCGCCGCCTACTCGAACCTCCTTTGAATTTCCCCAATTGTCGGACGAATCAATATTCTTTAATGGGTCTGCGTCTCCGTTGTTGTTTTCATTTGCCTGCATGTCGCCTTCGCTGAGTGGCGAGGTACGAATCATAATTCCTATGAACTTGGACTTCTTCGCCATGTATCCTTTCTCACAAAAAAGTTCCTTGTCTTTCTATCACCGCGTAATAGTACTATCGGCTGTACACATCACTTTCCGACGGATTGTCCTTCAATCGGCTCCAAAATTCACTTCTTGGATATGGCGGACCTACCCTATTGATCATTCGAGCCACTGACAATACAATCTTTGGCGCTTATACGTAAGTAATACTGAATTGTGTTCTTGATGGATTCTCTCGTTGTTTGCTGCTTGACTAACACCACCATATACAGGGCGTCATCTTGGAAGGAATCCAAAGATTTTTATGGAAATACGGACTGTTTCTTGTTCCAACTCTCGCCAAGCATAAGTATCTATCATCCATCAGGGAATAGCCAAAATTTCATGTACTGTAATTCCTATGCGCGGTCAAGAGGGTACGATCAACAGGCTCATGGAATTGGATTCGGAGGTAGTGTCCAAGAACCTCGTTTGTTCATTGCCGAGTCCTTTGACGATTGTGTGGCATCGGATGCGGATTTGACCTTTGCCAAAGGTCGCTTGCTCGGAAATGCCAACGATGCTTTGCTTGGCAAAAGCGCTATTGTTGGGGAAAAGAATGCAAAGTATTTCGATATTGATAGTTTGGAAGTTTGGGGAGTCGGTGGCACGGAAGTTGTGATGGAAGCCCTGGGAGCACGAACGAAACATCGAGACATTCGACAAGCTGGGATCAACAAAGCGCGCAAGGTGGATAAGGCAGCCTTTTTGGAGGACTTTCAATCAGGGCTTATGGATTCGAAAGCCTTTGCCCATCGGAATCAAATCCAAGGCAGAGACGGTGCTTGTGTGGGTGTTGATGATCTGAACAAGTATGAAAAGGAGCAATCGAGAAAGCGATCTGGATCATAATTTGGATTGTGAATGGTATTTTAAAAAATGCCATCACAAACAGTACTGGTAGATAGAAAAACCAACAACTCTTTGACTCTACTTATAGTTCAATTGATCTTTGGACTCTCCCCTTGTCAACTGTGTGTATGGCCCAACTGGTTGCTGGACAATGAGCGTACACAATGATGAACAATACTCGTCGTGGCCGCACATTACCCTTGTCGATCCAATATTCCTGTAACAGTCTTGGACACACAAAGAGAAGGTGTTCATCAATCATCATTACAATACAGTACTCGTTTTTTTTGGCAGGCAGTAGCATGTTATTTTTACATCGGAGTGTTATAGTCATTAGGACTACATTACTAATAGTCATATATTCAAATTAGTTTCCATCTCTTTTTCCTTTTGTTGCGCTGGTATTGTAGAATCAACCAGCTGATCCTAGTATGTAGCTTCCGCCGTCTTCCATGATTGTTGTCCATCCTAGAATTTGAACGCAGTCGTCCATTTCATAAGTTTGGTTGCAAAGTTGGTTGATTGTTATTTTTCAATACCAGTACCAGACATGCCAATCTGGCAATGTCATAGTAAAGGATATTGAAGACGCCGCTGCTCCCTTCAGTTCCAGTGCCATCGCAAAACTGCATGTACCACCGAGCATTGCCAATTATACAATACATATAATTGACAATGACAGCTGTTCACATGTCTAACCGATATCGCTTGCTCCCCATATTTGAGCAGGGTGATGGATCACATGATACTGATATTCCATGGGAGACTTCCGCTTTGTCTTTCAAATCCAATAACAGAGTGGTAGAGTTCAAGACTCTTTTTTTCAAAAATTGAATGGGACCGCTTTTCTGGGCTCTTGCCGATCATGGACGCGCTTATGAGCCTCGGCCTGCCCATCCATTCAGCAAAGACTGGAGGGAAGCATCCAAACTCAGCAAGCCATGAAATTGTCTGGTTTCGTGTCGCCAATGAAATTCTAACCGCAAAGGAAAACACTAGCCAGCCGAAGGATCCCTTATAATGTGCGATGACACAACAAGACTTGCAGATTTGCTGTGCAATCATATAATCATACTTGAAGAAAGACAAAAAGAAAAAGTGGTGAGACCATGGTTCAGAAAGTGGATGCAATTGAAACGGTCAAGAAAACTTACCAGGAGAAATGAGGTGACATCATTGTTGTTGTCATGACAAATTGTCATTATGGGGTGAATTTCCATGGAACGCTTTGATGGATTGTTTGTGTGTTGTTGCACACTATTATTATCCTTCATCTATTTCAAATGCATACCAAGAATGTACTCTTTAAGTACCGTTTTGTTGATTTGCCACTTGGTGACTGTATCGTCTTCCTTGTTCTGCCAAGCCAGATCCCAAAGCTTCAGTGAAAGGATCCACCGTATGTGGAATGAGAAGCTTGGCCCGTCAAAGACTGTAGCGCTTTCCAGACGCTGTCCATCCGGATCCCATTCCATCAGGAGGAATGTCAGTAGTAGCTGGGTTGTCAGATTGCTCGGGCGGTGGTGCCTTAATGTCGTCATCGCTGATAGTATCCTCCAAAGGATCCTTGGCAGAATCAATGCCGTCATCAATCAATCCAGCATCCAAAGACAATTTAATATTGCTCAAGTTGTCTTGTTCCTGTTCTTCTGGATCTTCAATGATGACAGGTAGCAAAGGAGTGAATCGCTCATTGATTTGTTTGGCCCATTCTGTGGCAGAAGTTGGAACCATAGACAAATTCAATTCGCGACACTTGGTGGGCCTGGATGCAACAAAGCAGTAAGTTGCGGTTCTCTTGAGTGACAATCGTGGTGCTTTGTCTTGCATGTCATTGGGCTTGACGTTGCCGTCATCATCCAAATCCATTGGTACAGGAATATTGGAGAGCATGCCATCAAGGACGGTTTGAAGCAGTTGTCGGCATATTCCAGAAAAACAAAAAATTAAAACAACATGCACATCCGGGTTCCAAAACATGGTGGTGTCATGGAATCACGATCAAGAGTGATATCCTTGAAGAGGATAATCAAAGGTGTATATTCCGAAAAAACCAAAAATTAAAAAAAACACACACATCCGGGTTCCAAGACATCACCTCTAGTGCTTCTCCTACACAGATCGGCCGTAGCTACGCTGGAAAACAGGTTGTTTTCAAATGGAAAACCAAGGATCAAGATGAGCAACAACAAAAAAGACAGGCAAGGTCCCCAGAGCACAAAAAGTATCCGAAAATGATTCATATTATGCTCCTGTAAGCCTTGTCCAATCTGCCTTCTTGGGCCTGTTGGACGATGATGACAGCGACGAAATTGCTGATGACGAGGAATAACATCAAGATTCTTCACGATCAGAAAGCAAGCCGGGGTATCTATTATTTCAGAAGTCATTTTGTCCAAAAAGAAGAAGAAAAAACAGTCCAATCTTGCCCATTCTTTGCACCCTTTTTGGGCATTCCTGGTGATTCTGGCGGTGCCATCAAATCAGTTTCCGATGATGAGGAAGACAGGGCCATCCGAAAGGTCTCTAGCGCCCGAGCACCAACTCCAATGGACCTCCAAGATGCTGTTGAGGATAAACCTTTCCAGCATTATGCTGACAAATTTGAAAGGTCTCTCAAGCAAACCTATTGCAACAATCCAACCCTTGTCGACCTACTATTGCAAGGAAATTGCTATCTTGTCCATCATCCTTCTGTCAATTGGCAGATGCCTCAATTTGATTTCCCTTTATGGAGGTTCAAATGTTGGCATCATTCCCATGGACAGCTAGGCAAAACACCACTGATCTGCAGCCTCACCAAGCCAAGATACAAACTACTGGCTCTGACCCTCTTTGCTTCTCCTTAGACTACAACCAGCCGCCTTTTGATGCTTGTAACAACCTCCATGTTCTGGAACACTGTGCCTATGAGACGCTCTCCATTCATTTGGATTGATATATTCAGGGTAGAAGGGAGCAAGAACACAAGGTTAAATCAAGCTTCAATACAGGCAAGCACAACAAAAGAAAAAACACAGAAAACAAAATAAAAATACGCCGCCTTGAGTGGCAAGATCGTCTCTCTACATGTGCAAGGGTGCAATGTAATATGCGGTAGAGCAACTTCCTTGGGATTGGATGCCTCAAACTGGCTCAACTGTACTGGACTCACCTACGTATGGTAAATGGCCATGACAGCCGTTAACGGCAATCTTAAAACTTGAGATAGTTTTAACACAATTAATGCATCAGATTTATGAAGCAGTTGTCGGCAATTCTTGAGCGCAAATTCTTTCTGCTTCCGTTTGGCCTTGGCAGCCTTTATCTTGAGCTTGGTGAGAATGGAACATGCGTTGTAGGTTGCTGAGGGTGCTTGTCACAACAATCTTCTCCACCTTGGAACACAACTTGTTTAGAACGCATTTGCCAGCGTAGCCTAAAATGTTCCCGCAAGATTGAAGATCATGCTTGTCTGGGACAAAAGTTCTCTTTCGAAAGAATGGGGCAAAGTGGACTTGGTTTGGTGTTTGGAAAAGTGCTGTCCAAACCAATAGGTCCGGTTGTTCTTGTGATAAGACGACCATTTGACAACGAGGCAGTTGTTGGCTGCTGTTCCATTGCTTGCAAAGTCCTCGATAGGTTTGGTATAGGTCAAGCGCCATGTACGGAAATAACAAGAGCGCCATCGCACGAACCAAACCGGCTGCAATGGTTTCTCAAACGGTTTGAGCGATGATCAAAGGCATCCAAACAGGCAAGAATCGAAAGAAGCTGATGCCTGTTGCTTGAATGTATTCTTGATTGACGATGATGGTAGTGATGTAGTTGATGTAGTTGATAATAGTGTTGGTCATGCTGATGTTTGATGTAGTTGGTGTATTGGTTGGTATAAAGAATTTCATAATGGAAGTTGTGAGGTGTGTGAAAACAACGTTCATGCAGTTGGAGATGATGCGGGGCAAATAAGAGCGGTGTTTGCGGACGAGTCTCCAGGCTTGGTGTTGCTATATCTGTAGCTGCCAAACGCAAATAGTGATGTGTCATTATACATCCTCCTTTTATAGTAATTACGGTGGCCGATCGAAGATAGCCAACTGGAGCCTTCTTTTCAGGTTCTTCTGCTTGGTGTTTCTTGGAGTGACTCTGGTGGGTTGTGGTGTGAAGCTGGTCCTTTTGAGTTGCGCGCGAAGCGTGCGACTCAAAGGACCAGTCTCAGATTTCCCGTAAGAAAGAAATAACTCTATCTTTCTGTCAGTATACTTGCACACAAGTTCGATATGTGTAGATCGGACTTAGGTTGCTGGTGCAATACTGAGATGACGGTCGCCCTACCGTCGTTCATGGAGTCACTATTGAGTCCATTGGTTTGACCGCTTTCTTCCGTCTACGTTAGACTTTTCTAGAACTTATCCTCTTCATACTGATTCTAAACGGCAGGTTTTGCCAGCTGTATAGACTACACCATACACGACCATGGAGATCACAGTCTCATTGCAAAAGACAACAGCAAGCACCTCTTCGTCGTCTTATTATTATTTAGCAGAACATGTAATGAAACCTTTTATTTTCCATATCGATGATGACATTAGAACAGTTTCGACCGACAGTGTCCTCGACAATCTTCTTAATGTTTGGCTTCTGATGCTGGATGAAACCTCGAATTTTGCCCTTTTGAAAGCAGTCACTGGTCATAAGCATTCCCTTCGTGCGAGTTCGAAAGAAACATATATCACTACTGACACTCTTCCTGTAACCGAGAGCCTTCATGGCTGGAAGAATGGATGCCTTCATAAATCGTTCAGAATGCATGTTCCATCCAACATCTGGTTTCGTTTCGACCCTCTCTTCCATCAATCGGAATCGTTGCGTAGCCCAAATTTTGACAGCCTCATAGGGCCCATATATCATGCGATCATTGACAGGCCACTTGGCAAAGTTTGGAATTACAAAAAAGGCATTCTTGTCATCAAACTTTCCACCATCGAGTTTCATAATATCCACAGGAGTCACGTAACAAACATCATTTCGAAGCATCGCGACCCTCTTGTATTCAATATTGTGACGATTTGCATATTCAGTCATCATTCCAAATACTGCCTCAACGGAATGCCACTGTCTTATCATATTATCCAAACTGGAGGTTTGCCAAGTCGGAGCTTTCCAGGGAAAGTACTTTGGGTTTCCTTCGCTGTCCAGAGTCGTATGATAACGGTGCAAGTCGGAGGCTCGCTTTTCGTAAAACGTGGCATTGGTGTCATTGGCAAAGAGTAGCGTCATTCTGGAGTAATTCTTTTCGCTTGCATTTTCTATAAGTGTTTCATTGAATCTCTCAATGACTGCTGGTTTCAAGAGAAATATTTCATCAGGATTGATACTTCCGCCATTGTTGTATCGACCAGCAGCTTCTTGCGTTTGATGGAAGTAGTGGACGAAAATGTCGCATTGATATTTGGCATTGGGATCTAGAATGTTCTTTTCGATGCTTGGCAGCACGATTGAGGAATAAGACCTTGGAAGACCAAAAAAGCAGAGTGCACACCGAAACCTGGTAGGACTGTCATTCGCAACCTCGGACTCAATCGTCGGATCTATGTTACCCGTGATGTAATCGCTCTGTGTATCAGGTTCAGAGATATCCATTTCTTCCGTCTGGTTCACTGGTTGATTCGAATAGGACGACGACATTGATGAATAGCTCATGGCCGACATGACATGATTGGAAGAAGACTGATGTCGGAACATGAATGCATTTTCATTCGAGAATGAAAGAATGGAAAGGGAAGCACATATCAGAAGAACACTGCATTCGTTTTGGCGCTTTCTCCCATATTGGAACAGCATACTACACCTGACATGGTTGGTGGTTGTCCGACGATTGATGTGATCATCTAAATATAAACAAATAAAAAATAAAATCCGACTCATTCGAATCGACCTGCCAAAAGTCATGTGACTTTTGTGCCAATAATCTTATTATTCTACGAGGATACGAATGAAATTCAACCGTTTCCAAAAACTCTCAGTCGTTCCTCGTTGCACCGCAATATTCAATATACCGCATTTTTTTTCATTCACTATCACTGCTTTCATTTTGACTGATTGCTGACTCCATCGTAACACAAATGACGCAGCAACACGATCTGGAGGCAAAACCCCAGAAGGAAGAATCTCGAGCCTCCGACCTGCTTCAGGTGCACCCTCCGAGAGGAAAAGAATCTCGAATTTCTGCGGTGGAGGTTTCCAATGTGCAAAGCCGCTTATTGGAGATTGAGATGCTTCTTGGGCTTAGCTCGACACGGAACAAAGCTAACAAATGGAGGAAAATTGGATCCCAACAATTAGTTTTGGACAGTGACATTCCAGACGACATCATGCCGTTCCAACTCCCCAAGGATGTCTACTCGATTGTGGCAACTTGTGGCGTGTCATCACCATCATTTTGGATTGCTTTGCTAGTCATATTTGGTCTCCAAATCTCGCTGCTTGTGCTCCTGCTCCTCGATCAAATCGGACTTGAAGATGATAACGTGTTGGGTACACCAGCCAATGTTGAAGTAATTGTTCGCGCTGCTCAAGTACTCGCACTAGTGATTGCCTTATTCAGCCAAAGTGATCTTCGGCAAGGTGTAGAGGGAATTTCAGAAGGATTGCCAGACATCTATCAAGGCAATGACAGCTTTCAAAGCATGGGTCCAGCGCGGTGGCATTTTGCTTATGCCATTCGGTTTCTCCAAGGATTTGTCAACCTGTTTGCATCATTTGTCTTGCTGCTTCAGGCTGAGACTGTGTTCGACGTATTGTAAGTTACAACGACATTGACAGTATTTTCGTTTTGCCATCAATCAAATTGGTGTCATACTAACTTGTTGCATGCGGTATAGGCTGAATTTCCTGGGCGTCCAGTTCATATCGGTACGTTCGTACTTGACTACTAATCTGGTCACTTCCCTATTAATATGTGTGGAACTAACGTGTTACTTTCTGGCAGGATCTTGACGATCTAGCATTTGATCTGGGTGGAAAAGGGTACTTTGGATACTCGGCGCAACAGGTTATCCACGACATTATGCAAGCAAGATTCCTTCGAGATTCTACAAGTCACAAATGTCGTACTTATGCACACGTGATTGGCATCTTTGCCGTGTTGGTTGTCATGGTCGGTATCTTCTCAAACCTGGCCATTCAACAAGACCAAGGTGTTTTTGCAATTGAGTCTGTGACAGCTGAATTTGGCGACGAGGTGATCTCGTTCATGGGTCTCTTCAATGGTTGCTACAGAGCCAGAAAGGAAGGTCCGGCCCTGAATAGGCGACTGGTCTATGAACAGATTGGATCAGAGGTAGATGGTGGCAAATTTGGATATTGCGATAACCTCGAAGAGGCGTCATCTGAGGGCTGGGTGTTCTTTCAAGGCAACTCAGTGGAGGATGCGTGCGAGAAGTACATTATCCGGTCTGACAAAACCAACACATTTGATTTACTGGATGCAGCGGCCACCCAATGGTATACAAAAGGTGGTCAGCTTGTTGATTACCTGCAGGTGTCGCAGCTCCCAGAGGATTCAATGTCAAGCGAGTGTGGCTTGGGAATCTTTCGTCGAACCAATAATACCTGTGACCTACTAGAGCTACCCACAAGATTCGACAGTCTACAAGGTACTGGTTCGCGGCTGTTTGAGAAGCTGGACGTGACTTCAGTACAGGTTGGCGCCTACCTTGATACAACACAATCCCACCCAATCTATCTCGGCAAGTCATCGTCGGAGATTATCCTCTTCACTGGTCGTAGATGGGTGATGACTACGACAGATGAAGGGAGTGAACAGTTTTCAAGCGTCAGAGATGGCTCAAAGTGGAACCATACTGCAGTACTTGATTACTTTTACAATCAAGGCTTTCCGGCAATGGAACAAAGCAAACTTAAAAGTCGTGAATGGGTCTCGGCCATTAGCGAAATTGTTGATACCACTACTGATCCTGGAACACCATTGGCCTTACAGTGGTACAATGTGCGATACGAATCAAACACGGGCCGAAGTTTCCCATTTGCAGACCTTACCAGGCCCCAAGAGGCCAAACTGGGCTGTGCACGGTGTGATGATGAGTTTGTTCGTTGTGCGAATGAAGGCGTTTGCGTTAATGGGGTTTGCGAATGCCAAAATCGTGCTACTGGAGTACTCTGCGAGGACGCTCCTTTGGGAGACGGGCTTTGCGACGATTATTTCAACACGGCCGATTTTGAATACGACGGCGGGGATTGCTGTGGAAGCACATGTACCGGAGCACTATGTGGGCGAGGTGGTCTGAGTGTCGCTTTTGGTGTCGATCTGAGAGACAATACTTTCGTAAGCCAGTACCTGAAAGATGAAACTGTTATTGGATTTGAAAACTGCATTGATCCTGAAATGGAGACGTTTACAATTGAAATGGTTCCTGTCGACGTACCCCTTTACGAGATTCCCATGACGGCTGGAGAAGACTGTGGTCTCGAATCCGTGACAGTAATTTGCGATGGTGTCCTATATCTTCGAACCCCCAACCTGTACATGGCTGAAAGTGTTGACGAGGTGGAAAAATGCCACGAAGATGCTCCTATGATTCAGCCAATTCATTTGCCGGCCGGAGTGAATTGTGAGTTGTCAAGACCGTTGGATGACTTTGAATGGTTTTATGATGCTTTACTTTTTCGAGGGAATACTACAGATTCAACCAGTATCCGGCGAGGAAACAACTCAGCAACTTCTCTATCATGGTCGGTACCAGCTGAATGCCTTGCTGAAGTTTTTACAGAATATTTTGGCGACGTCGATCGACTCTACGATACAAACTCTCCCGAAGGTGCTGCAATCCAACGCATGGCTTCCGATGGAACTTCAGCTCTGTTGTGCACTCTTGATCAAGATCTGGTTAAGGAGAGATACGCATTGACAATGCTCAATGTCTCACTTGTCTTTGAGTCTCGAACTTGGCAAGAACACCAGTGTTATGGATGGGGATCAGGGTCAGGTGGGATTGATATCATCTGTAATGACGACGACAAAGTTGTATCAATCGAAAATGCCGGAACTTTTGGCATTGCGATGATAGGAGGTACAATCCCAAGCGAGCTCTTTCTGCTGCCGCATTTGTGTAAGTCTGACTTCGGTATGGTCAAACAGCCATCGACATGCTTCTGACACTTGATACAGCGAACCTTGATCTTCACAACAATGATGATCTCTTTGGAACATTGCCAACAGAAATTGGTTTGCTTAATTCATCTTTGAGTAAGTACTGACGATGCCTGATCTCTATCCAATATTCACCAAGCGTATTGCTCACTGTTTCGCAACGTAGCACGTCTAAATCTGAATGGAACAGGAATTAGGGCACCACTGCCAATAGAATTTTTTAAGCTTTCAACATTGGGTACGTGAAATGCCACACCATCTTAAGGAGTAACTGAATTCTCACTTTGTTTTTCCTCGTACACAATTATGTTCAAATGAAAGCATATCTTGATCTTGGGCTTTCTTTTGAGGGCACAATTCCTACTGAAATCGGAGTACGTTTGGTGAGAAAATCGGTACTTCCCATGTTGTTGGTTCTCACAGTGTGATTTCTCTCTTTTAGTTGCTCTCCGAACTTACGCACCTGAACTTTGAGTCGGTGGATTGGAATCAGATTGCCATCAATGGAACGTTGCCTACAGAAATTGGGAAGCTTACGAAGCTCTGTGAGTCATATTTATACTTCACTTTAGCATCCCTTTGCACGATCCGCTAATGATTCATTTCTCTTGCTGCAGCGTATCTCAATTTGCAGAGCAATTCTTTGACTGGAACAATGCCGACGGAAATTGGTGTACGTTATGTTTTGAAAATTGGTATCACCCTTTGATGTTCGCTCTAACGGTCTGATTTTTTGGTCAATTAGCTGCTCTCCGAACTCGGGTACTTGAACCTTGAGGGTGGAGGATGGTCAGATGGGCTCAATGGGCCACTGCCCAGTGCAGAAATTGGGAAGCTAACGAACCTCTGTGAGTCATCATGTGTTACGTTTCTGCATCGCCTCACACGAACCACCACTAACAATCCATTTCTCGTCGGTAGCCTATCTTAATTTGCAGGGAAATGCTTTCACCGGATCACTCGCAAGTGATATTGGGCTTCTTACAAGTTTGACATCGCTTGACTTGCGTAGCTGCAACTTATCTGGAAAGATTCCGACAGAAATTGGACTGCTCGATGGCCTAGTCGAACTGTATTTGGGAAACAACATTCTCAGGGGAATCGTACCTACTGAAATTGGTCTCTTGACCAATCTCAGCACCTTGGATCTAGCTTCGACCGATCTAAGTGGAACAATCCCAAGTGAAATCTTGCAGCTGCCAAAGCTTGATCAAATTCAGTATTCTGGAAGTCGCCTGACTCTTGATGTGACAGACCCAGACTTCTCTTGTGATGAAACGACTGTAGAACTTTTATTAACAACACAAAATTGGCCCGCTGAAGTAACATGGGAAATCACCAAAGATGATGGCACTGTGACTGCATCGGGTGGCGGTAGCTCCCGGTACCCATTCCGTCGGACTCCGCACCTCGAAAAGATTTGTGTTCCATCGGATGCTTGCACCTTTACCCTTCTGAACCAAGGCGAAGAGAGTGTTGAAATCATACGATTGGGGGTATTCTACCAGTTCATTCAGACGTGGGCAGAGAGGGCTTCCATGGATATATGTACATAATGCTGTAGCAGTGCACTTGTTATGCCATTTATTGGAAACGTCGTCTAACGTAGACGAAAGCTCAAGAACAAATCATTGGATTCCTTTCATCATTCTGACGACGGTCGAAAGACCGTCACAACAGCATTGCTCAGCAACATCAAGTCCGATCAGTTTATCGAACTTGTGTGCAAGTATACGTCAAGAAATAAGGTTTATTTCTTTCTTTCAATACTCTTTCATCAAGTTCTTCGGCGTCCTCGGCGAAGAGTAGTAGATCCTAGTTGCGATCTACGAAAACTGCCTGTGTCTGTTGTCGTTCACGCACTTTCACACCTGACCTTCAGTGCTCCTTCGTCTTCTCCTTTCCGTCGTGCCATCCCTGATTGCAGCCTAATCATGAAGGTCCTGTCTGCCCCATAAAGATTCCCTCATCCATGAGCATATCATCAATTCTTGGCGAGGAATGCGTTTGGATAAAACCATTCATCAGTCATTCGGCCACCCTGTCACGGACACCACCAAACCTGGATATCAGGTGACAATAATAATAATAACTGAGACATTAATCGTTAATATGCTACTCTATGGGCATTCGATTGCCGGTGAAATATTCGGCTGTAAAGGTCAAGTACTGTGAAGCGGTGAGTCAACAACAAGTTTGAACC